GATATGGCCCAGCCCTAATTCCAGGTGCCACATCTTACAAAAAAAGGAGTAAGAAAAAGTAACTCTGGTCAAAGCCCAGGCCTGATTCTTCAGACATTGACGAACGTTCATGTCTGACAACTGCTTTGAAGCCACCCCGCTTTACCGTGTGAGCCTCTGACATAAAAAGGGCACCAGTGCAAAGAAATGAAAAAAGTCTTGGCGTTATATGTGAGCAAAAACATTGTCCACAAGTTTGAAAGTAGATTTACAACACTAAACTTAGGCCATGTTTTGTTCAGTGTGTTGGCTAATGCAAGATATTCCTGGAGTAAACATTAAGCTGATTCGTTTGTTCCACACTCGATATAGACATTTGTTTTGGTTTTATTCTGTCCTTTTTAAAAATTAATGACACTATACAGCCACTCGTCTGCTTTCAAGCTGTGCATCTCCCCCCATTTTGTCTTCTCCTTCCCTTCACGCTGACACCGGCAGCCTCTGAATTTCTAACTTGAAACAGCAAGCAATTTGTATGCAATGGAACATCATTACCTGAAAATGAATTTGATAGATGAGAGATGAGTTCCTCAATGTACGATCGGGTCTGAAGGTCTGTTTTGCACTTCAATAATAAAGCTCTTGTTTTGCATGTGCAGTCACTTGTTGACAAAACTGCCAATAGTAATGAAAGCACAGGTTCAGCAGGCAGCACTTTTTCCATTTAGAAACAAATTTAAAGGTTGACTTTAAAGATTTTATCTTTGATTGGGCTTTCATGAGGTTGTTGCTATGGCTCTGCTGGCATGCATTCATTTAAAGCAAATATAACTTCGGTTGAAAATGTTAGCGTGCACATTTTAGTATGCAGAGTTGGGAGCAAGCCTCAATAGATCCCAAGGGGCAATGAGTTTTATGGGGGTCCGGCCATTCATTAACTTGACAGGTTCTGTCAGTTTTAAGACCCACAGTACCTGCAAACATTGTTGCCCTTTTCTATTCTAGCACTTTACAAGTTGGCACCATGTTAATTTATTTTTTTCAGCTTACTTATAAAGTCATTTTATCAACAGTTGTTGACCATGTAGTTCTTAGATTTCATGTTTTATTTTGCAAAAGTGATATAAGTAATTTGCTAATGCTTAGTTTGATACCTGTGCTGCATAGCATTACTAATTATACTGAAGAATGTTCCTTTCCACACCCACATTTTCAGAACAAAAGATGTACTCAGTCAAGGCTCTGTAAAAGAGCCACTCCGTCTTTTTCCTCCTGTCTAGCTCAATACGACGAAAAGCTTTTGTAGCGTGTGTTGGTTTCAAAGGCACACGAAGGCCACCTCCCACACTGAGAGCTCCACGGTGGACAAAGCTGGAGGACGCCCAACACTTGTGGTCCCTTCTCTTTACACCAGAAATGATAAGGTCAATCTGACATGTCAACCAGTTTATAAAGTTATCTTCAGAGTTTTCCATCAGTACAGGAATCTCATAATGATGCTTTTCGCTGTGTTAGCTCTATAGCACATTTATAAGATGTACGATAGCGACTTCTCAGTCACAAAGTAGCTCAACCCTAAACCGTGCCTGCTTTATCATTTATTTGACTCTAGGTGATCTAGAAAGAATAGAAGTTAAAGGGACTTTCACATCACTTTTTAGACCTGGAGGCTGTCTACAGGACTGAAAGTTATTTTTGTTTTGTTTCTTTGGGAGTGTAGGGAGCAGGTGCA